AACGAGAATGGATTATTATCAAGGCAAAACTGAAAAAACAAAAATGAAACAAAAACAATTAATGAAATGAGTCAAGGGATGTCTTGAAATGATTAATGGTTTGTTGAAATAATGAATTACAAATGATAATGACCTTCTAAACTATCTTTGAGTGGCTCCACAAAGTGTTCAAACTCCATCTCTTCCATGGCAGAGAGCACATCGGCTGCCGTTAACGTTTTCCGCTTGGCACTCAAAGCAAAATTATTTGCACTGCAAATCATGTCAAGGTTTTGAATATAAAATGAAAATGTAGAAAGTTATAGAATTATGCTCAGTAAAATTCCTCTCCCACAATGCACTGCATAAATACTTAGTAACTTACTAAGTAGAAGCAACATTTGAATTTCTTTCCCATAATGCATTGCACATATGCTCAGTAACATGTTCAGGAGATGCAAAATTCGAATTTTTCTCCCATAATGCATTTCACATATGCTTAGTAACATGCTCAGTAGATGCAAAATTTGAATTTCTTTCCCATAATGCTTTGCATATGCTCAGTAACATGCTCAGTAGATGCAAAATTTTAATTTCTTCCCCATAATGCATTGCATATATGCTCAGTAACATGCTCAGTAGATGCAAAATTTGAACTTCTTTTCCATGCTTTGCATATGCTCAGTAACATGTTCAGTAGATGCAAAATTTGAATTTCTTTCCCATAATGCATTGCATATGTGCTCAGTAACATGCTCAGTAGATGCAAAATTTGAACTTCTTTTCCATGCTTTGCATATGCTCAGTAACATGTTCAGTAGATGCAAAATTTTAATTTCTTCCCCATAATGCATTGCATATGTGCTCAGTAACATGCTCAGTAGATGCAAAATTTGAATTTCTTTCCCATAATGCTTTGCATCTACTGTTACTGATAACATGCTTAGTAGTAGCAAAATTTGATTTCTTTCCCACAATGCTTTGCATATGTGCTCAGTAACATGCTAAGTAGATGCAAAATTTGAATTTCTTTCCCACAATGCTTTGCATATATGCTCAGTAACATCCTCAGTAGATGCAAAATTTGAATTTCTTTCCCATAATGCTTTGCATATATGCTTAGTAACATGCTCAGTAGATGCAAAATTTGAATTTCTTTCCCATAATGCTTTGCATATATGCTCAGTAACTTGCTCGGTAGATGCAAATTTGAATTTCTTTCCCATAAAGCTTTGCATATATGCTCAGTAACATGCTCAGTAGATGCAAAATTTGAA